GAGAGAGGAGGACATGAGGAGAGGAGAGCAGAGGACATGAGGAGAGAAGGCATGAGGAAGGAGAGAGGAGGACATGAGGAAGGAGGAGCTAGGAGAGATAGGAAGGAGAGAGAAGGACATGAGGAGAGAGGAGACATGAGAGGAGAGGAGGACATGAGGAGAGGAGAGAGGATGAGGAGAGGAGAGAGGAGGACATGAGGAGAGGAGAGGGAAGACATGAGGAGAGAGAGGAGGACATGAGGAGAGGAGAGGAGGACATGAGGAGAGGAGAGGAGGACATGAGGAGAGGAGAGGAGGACATGAGGAGGAGAGAGGAGGACATGAGGACGAGGAGAAAGGACATGAGGAAAGGAGAGAGGAGGACATGAGGAGGAGAGAGGAGGACATGAGGAGAGGAGAGGAGGACATGAGGAAAGAGAGAGAAGGACATGAGGAGGAGAGAGGAGGACATGAGGAGAGGAGAGGAGGACATGAGAGAGGAGAGAGAGGACATGAGGAGAGGAGAGCTGAGGAGAGGAGAGGAGAGGAGAGAGGAGTACATGAGGAGAGGAGGACATGAGGAGAGGAGAGGAGGACATGAGGAAGGAGAGAGGAGGACATGAGGAGAGGAGAGGAGGACATGAGGAGAGGAGGAGCTGAGGAGAGGAGAGGAGAGGAGAGAGGAGTACATGAGGAGAGGAGAGGAGAGGAGAGGACATGAGGAGAGGAGGCAAGAGGAGCTTTAGGGTGATGATTGGTTACAGAGGTGAGGCTCCTCCCTGATCTGCAGGTACTGGGCTGCTCTCCGGGGAGCACTTGTTTCCTCTGACATTGAGTCCCAGGTGGGTGGGGTCCTGTGGTGTGTGTGTGTGTGATGTGTGTGTGTGTGTGGTGTGTGTGTGTGTGTGTGTGTGTGTGTGTGTGTGTGTGTGTGTGTGTGTGTGTGTGTGTGTGTGTGTGTGTGTGTGTGTGTGTGTGTGTGTGTGTGTGTGTTCCACCCTCTAGCTCATTAGTTTGTCTCTGGGGTTCCTCATCACCACACAAAGAGGAGCTGTTACCGTTCAAACTGAGTAATGAGAATGTTCGGCTACATCCAGATGTTCCTGTAATCTCTCAGGGTTCTGATCCAAACTTCTTCTGACTCGCTGAGTTTTTTTAGTCTTTAAACCTGAACAAAACCCGACTGAATGAAGGAAACTGGAAGAGTGGCCCCTCCAGCTGATTAATCCGGACCTTTCCTCAGTCGTCTTCTCCAGACTCGGTTCTGATGCCGTTAAACTTTTTAATACCAGCACTTGGCTTAGGACGAGTCATTTTCCAGCTCATCTCACAGCTCGGCGGCTTTTCCCTCCAACATTAGTGGTCTGATGAGGAGACGGTTCACCTCACAGCTAACTGGTGTTTTTACAAGCAACGTGTTTAATTTGTGGCTCCTAAACTTCTTAATTGAATCTTTAAAGCAGTTAAGAAACGAGATGTGGTGAAGTGAGGGTCCTGGGTTTGTGAAACAGCTCACAGGCATCAAGCCAGTGTTTTTCTCTGTTGCTCAAACCTACAAAATCTGGAATTTTTATGATCTGTAGCTGATTTTAAAACTAAAACCATCAAAGTGTTTCTGAAACCAGCCACTAGGGGGTGTTTGGGCCCCTTTAGCACCCCTGCAGCGGCGGGCATCCACAGTAGAACCCAAAGCTCTTCCTTTTCTTTTCACAATAAGAGTATCAGTCCTCCTTGTTCTGTTAATGTTAGGCTATTGTTGTTGTTGTATTTATTTTGTTTTCTTATGGTTATTTAACTCATGTCGGGAGAGTCCCAGAATAAAACTTTATTCTCATTATTCAGATTTTTTTCCTAAACAGGACCCTGAAGCTCGGCTGCATCGACCCAACATCACTTGTTATCGTACAGATGTTTTCATTAGGGATGCACCGATACCGGTTTCAGTGCCGATACTGATTCCGATACCAGTATCGGTAATAATTAACAGATACCGTAACTGATACCAATGCAGTTGCTTGAAAGTTACTTAACTGTAACTTGTCATTTCTGTTCATCTAATATTTTAGTTTTGTGATAAATTATATTAACATATTTTACTTTTTATCTACCTCACAGTCTTTTCCTGTTGAAAACAGAGAAGAAAATAAAACCTGTATTCCAAATCATTGCATTATTTTATGTGGTAGAAGTATCTGTATCAGTATTCTGTATCGGCGAGTACTCAGATCCAAGTATCGGTTTGGGAAAAAGTGGTATCGTTGCATCCTTAGTTTTCATCTGCTTCAGCTTCCCAGACTCTGTTTTGAAAGCGCTTTAAATGTTTTGGGGAATAAAAGTTTATTTTAATTTCTGTGAAGTGGGTTTAGTGTTCGATGGGCGCTTCGACGTCACCGATATTGCCCTTATTTCTGCGTTTGCGCCACCTGAACAGGCCGAGCGGAGCCGACTTTAGGCGAGTGTTTCTGAGAGGCAGACAGGAAGTGTGTCCAGCTGCGACTCACATCTCCCTTCTGTAAACACCCACACGCCCTGATAAACGCTCGGCTTTGATTAATTTCTGCCTCTTGGGGTTTGGAGGAAAACACACGCAGCCGGCCGGTGATCAATCGCTTCCATGTGTGGAGTTCTGGAGTCCAGCATGGAATGAATTACCCCAAACCAGAAGATCCTTTTATTTTACTAACAATCCCATCTCTGTGAACCTTGGAGCTCCTGCAGGTTCAGACAGTTTGGAGTTAAACATTTTATTTTTACTAAATCAGCCATCTGGGATCTGTTTTTTTTTTTTAAATAATTTTAAGGATCAAGTTCAACATAGTCTCCTACACCTGTCTCCTGCGTTAGCGTCTGACGGTGAAACTCTAGGATTAGACAATCCTGACGGATCTGCATCACACAGTCACCTAACATTCATGGACTCACCCAGGGGAAGGCTGTTGTTGGTTTAGTGTCCAGAAAACAGCAGAGAATGTCTCAGCTAGCAGAAGCTAACTGTTAGCGTTAGCAACTCCACTACACGGCACAACTCCTCCAGGCTTGTGTTACTTGTGGAGGTAAAACATCAACGTTGCAGAGCAGAGTCAGTGGTAGAATCGTGCTGGTGCTAGCCAATCAGAGGAAAGATTAAAAATCAAGTTAACCCTCCCACTGTCCTCAAGGGTGACCCCGCCAGGAAAGTTGACCATTGAGCAGGGTTGATGGTTGATCCCTTGAGGTCCACGTGGCAGGGGTGAGGTGGTGCTCACTCCTCACTCCTGCCACGTGGACCTCAAGGGATAAACCATCAACCCTGCTCAATGGTCAACTTTCCTGGCGGGGTCACCCTTGAGGACAGTGGGAGGGTTAAAGCAGGCAGGAAAAATCTAACAGGAATGCTGATGAACAGATTCAGGAACATCTACGGGATTCTGACACGTTACAGTGGAGATTTCTGCTCCTGGCTTTTATTTTGGTAGGAATTTATTTTTTATGATGGTCTGAATTTACAGTTTAGCCAAAGAGAGAGAGTACATTTATACTCTAAACAATAACATTTACCATTTAAGATGTGATGATTCCTCATAAATATGAAATATCAACCTGATGATCTTTGAATGTTTAATCAGAAGATTCTGGGGTTCTTTGCTTCTTCAGGGATCATAAACACGCTTCGTATTAATTCAGACAGAGTCAGTACATAGTTTATGAAATGAAGTTAATTATTTTTCCTAAACTAATAATTTATACATGACAAGATATGAATAATGAGATGTGATGTAATGGACATGAGGTGATTTAATGTGATGTGTGAAATGTTGCAATGGAAGCTAGATGTGCTAGCAAAACCATTCTTTGTATCTGAGAGGGTTTGTGAAGTCTGGGCTGTAAAATAATTTGTTGTTTGTTTATAACTAGAGAGTTGTTTATTTAAAAACCGTCTGACGCAATCTGTGCCAAGTCTACGCGCCCTTTGTGTGGAGATTGTCGTTAGATCCAGGGGGTCAAGATGGGCACTGCCAGTGGAGTGGACCTCTGATATCAGGAACCCGTAGATAGCTCTGATAGGACCCGTCTAGTCTGAGATCCCTCCAGGTGACGGCAGGAAGCTGGAACGCTTGTTTGCATCTAAGGCTGCTTGTTTGGCTCTTAGAAGAGCCGGTTGTCTGATCTCAGCCGCAGCGTTGCAGAGAGACTTTGACTGGAGGTCAAAGGAGAAGATGGTTTCAAAAATGCTTGTTCCCAAATTGGCCTGTTGGAGAGTCAGCTAGAAACTGAACTAATCAGGAAGCAATTCTTGTTTTAATAAACTCACTGCTTATAAATTCTGGCGAATCAGAACGTGCCATGTCTTGGGGGCTTACCAAACATTCCTCAGAAGCCACGCCTTCTTCAGATACAAAGGTGTTTAATGCTTTGTGAATGAGAACATTTTAAACCCTTCTGTGAGGTGAATATTACATTAATTAGTGTCTTATTGTAATGTGTATGAGTGTAAATATTGATTAACTTGTTAAATCAACACAAACTGATCATAAGATCTGAAATGGATCTTTGTAAGAGCTATATCCACTTTAAAGCCATCATTGGTTTAAGAACAGGTTATTCAAACCTTTGATTTAAACATCTTGTTCATTCACACACACGTGTGATTATTTAAGCTTATGAGTCGTAAAGTCCTGTAGGAGCGCCAAGTAGGTTTGGGTTTTATTCAGGGTGAGGAATCAGCAGTCTGGCTTTTACACAGAGACTGCAGGACCTTTGCAGGAGACCTTGACAGTTTCATGTCTTCTTGTATGCAAACAAGCACCGAGCAGAACTTCCTGGATTTGGAGGCCGGACAGAGAGTGGGTTTATGTCTGTAGATGAAGGCTAACTTGTGGTCGATTAGATGGTGAAAATTGACCCTTTGGTTACGTAACAATGTGTAGATTTAATGTTATACACACACACACACACACACAAACACACACACACACACACACACACACACACACACACATTTGGACATGTCTTCCAAATCTAAAGATGTAAAATTTTTTCAGGTTCTTCCGGGGCGACTACACGGTGGAAGTGGCGATCAACGACTACCTGGACATCTATTGTCCTCACTACGAGGGGGCGGAGTCTGCCGAGCGCATGGAGCACTACGTTCTGTACATGGTGAACTACGATGGCTACATGACCTGCAACCACTACAGGAACGGCTTCAAACGGTGGGAGTGCAACCGACCGCAGAGTCCAAACGGACCGCTCAAGTTCTCAGAGAAATTCCAGCTTTTCACGCCCTTCAGCCTGGGCTTCGAGTTCCGTCCAGGACACGAATACTACTACATCTGTGAGTACTACTTCAAGGGTACATCTGTGAGTACTACTTCAAGGGTACATCTGTGAGTACAGAATACTACCAGAGTACATCTGTGAGTACAGAGTACTACCAGAGTATAGGTTTAGATAAGTAATACTAACAGAGTACATCTGTGAGTACAGAGTACTACCAGAGTATAGGTTTAGATACGTAATACTAACAGAGTACATCTGTGAGTACAGAATACTACCAGAGTACATCTGTGAGTACAGAGTACTACCAGAGTATAGGTTTAGATATGTAATACTAACAGAGTACATCTGTGAGTACAGAATACTACCAGAGTACATCTGTGAGTACAGAGTATTACCAGAGTATGGGTTTATGGGCCATTCCCATCTGTACCGGGTCGGCCCGGGCCGGGTAGCCCCAGTCGGCCCCAGCCTGGCCCGGTTGATTCCACACATCCTTGCCTTAAGCCCATGTGGGCTGATTCTACCCACCAATCAGAGGCTTGCTCTAATGGAAGGGCTTTAGTCGCCATTGGCAGTGAACGAGTCACGGGCTGTTCCCACAGCTTCAGAAGGGGACGCCAACCATAAATCAGGACCGGAACAGAAGATTCACGCGGAAACACTAACAAGTGTTGGTGCGCTACAGGACGGTCCTGTCTGAAGACCTGATGTGACACAGTGACCGTCTGAATCCAACATCAGCCGCTCAGCAGGCCTACAGCTCGGGTCAGACGGGTCACAAACCCACAGAAACACAAGCTGCAGGCGTTTGGTTTTGTCGGGACATAATTTGTCATCCAAGCTGGAAAACATTCCCTAAATTGTGGCTCGTTTGGTCTGAAAGGCCTCCAGCAGAGACAGACGCACAGTTTGTTTTAAATGACACTTAATGAGTGTGTGTGTGTGTGTGTGTGTGTGTGTGTGTGTGTGTGTGTGTGTGTGTGTGTGTGTGTGTGTGTGTGTGTGTGTGCGCGTGCGTGCGTGCGTGCGTGCGTGCGTGTGTGTGTGTGTGTGTGTGTGTGTGTGTGTGAGAGAGAGAGAGAGATGAATGCAGCAGGTTCAGAGCAGAAGCATGAATAAAACATTCTCTGCGGGTCGGAGTCGAGCAGCAGAACAAAGAATCCGATTTGATTCAAAAGCGTTTTTATTTAATTTTATTCAGCAGCGACTGAAACTGAACCAGAACATCTGAGATCATCTGAAGCTGAACGTTTTATTTATATTTAATATGTTTTAAAAGGGTTTACATCTAAAATCTGGTAAAAACACTTTTAATGATGAGCGAATGACCCTGAGGTCAGAGGTCAGCTGCCCTGTCTGCTGCTGTAGTGATTTCTACAAACACCAAATAAATGATAAATGACCCGCACTTGTATAGCGCCTCTCAGAGTAAGGACTCCAAAGCGCTTTACACTACAGTGCATCATTCACCCATTCACTCACACATTCACACACTGGTGGTGATGAGCTACGATGTAGCCACAGCTGCCCTGGGGCGCACTGACAGAGGCGAGGCTGCCGAGCACAGGCGCCACCGGTCCCTCCGACCACCACCAGCAGGCAACGTGGGTTAAGTGTCTTGCCCAAGGACACAACGACAGCGACAGACTGAGCGGGGCTCGAACCTGCAACCTTCCGATTACTGTACAACCCGCTCCACCAGTTGAGCTACTGCTAACCATGGAGCCAGTCAGCAGGTTTAAAACTGATACTGAAATCATGTCTTTTTGTTTTCTCTGCAGCGTCTCCACATCCAAACCTGGCTGGAAAACCGTGTCTGAAGCTCAAAATCTACGTCAAACCCACCAGTGAGTTGTTTCTGCTCATCCTTGTCTACAGTAGGAATCATGCATGCTGGCAGGTGATGTCATTCAGGAGGAAGTCCTCTAACCAGAGGTCTACTGAGGGAACAACACTCTAAACCCCCGGGAAGTGTGATGTTCTGGAGTTTTAGAGCAAAAATCTTAGTTCATTTGAAACCGCTGTAGCGAAGCTACAGAACAAGCTAGGTTTTGGACGCAAACATGAGTGTTCCTCAATGCCAAAGAACCTCGCCCTGATGTCTTGGTCCCTCCCTGGTTGCCTAGGAGATATATCATCAGGAGAAGCCAAGGCGTGTTCCAGAGTTCATGTTCTACCGAGGCGTGTGTTCTCCGTTTGTTAGCCGTTTAGCTAGCTGAGCAAGGATACACGGGAGGTGTCTTGTAGCCTAGCCTTGGTCAAAATTTACCCAGAATACACCGCAGTATTTTCAAAAGGATGGCGGATCAGAAGCCGGCAGCTACTTCGGGGGCAAATTTCAAGATTAAATGTAAGTCAGCTAATTGTTGCTATCGGGCTGATATCTGAAATGGTAAATGGCCTGTATTTGATATAGCACCTTCTAGAGTCCTGGAACCCCCCAAGGCGCTTTACAACACAGTCATTCGCCCATTCACACACACATTCACACACTGGTGGGGATGAGCTACGATGTAGCCACAGCTGCCCTGGGGCACACTGACAGAGGCGAGGCTGCCGAGCACTGGCGCCACCGGTCCCTCCGACCACCACCAGCAGGCAACATTGGTTAAGTGTTTTCCCCAGTCACAACGGCAGCGACAGACTGAGCGGGGCTCGAACCTGCAACCTTCCGATTACGGGGCGAGTACTTAACTCCTGTGCCACCGTCGCCCCATGACGGAAATGTTCTTTAGATCCAAAGAAGTTATCTATGGTTGGTTAGATGCTTAGTCGTTCGGTGGCTAGCGGGTAGTAACTCATTTACATTTTGAATTTAACTAAAAATATATACACAATTAAAAAAGTAAAAGGCTTGTTGAACATTTATTTTGAAACATATACATATAAAATATGATGTTATCTCCCGTGTCACGTGATGTTATGTGAATGCCGCGGTCACGTGATGCAAGTCTGTTCCATTTAACCGTTTTCTTTGACCAAGGAAGGACAGTGTCCTCGTAAGCAAGACGCCTGGCCTCGCACGACATTGCCTCGCAAGGCCAGGAGCCTTGACACTGAGAAACACCCGTGGTCACAGACCCCCCCCCCCCCCCCCCCCCCCCCCCCCCGAGTACAGGATGGTGCTAAACACCAGTCACCATTTCTCAGGTCCAAATGTCTGGTTGTCCATGACTTCAGAGGTTGGTTTTCATTTTTGGGACTCTGGTAGTTTGTTCTAAAGTTGAAGTGGTAGCAGCCGGCTGTTTCTCCTCTGGTGTTACTGATCAGAGAACCTCCCAGACCAGTGGTGTTCTGGTGCTGAATATGCATGTGTAATGAGTGGAGGACCCAGGGAAGTGTGGCGGTTTAGCTAGACCGACAACCGGATGGTTGCTCTTAGTCTGAAATGTGTCATTGGTGGAAGTTTTTAGACAGGTAAGAGAAAACAACTTTATTCGTTAATTTCAGTTTTTTTTATATATTTATTTCACTTTATGTTAGAACGTTGTTAAGTGACATGAAGAAAATGTTTTTAACTAATGTGTTTTCAAAATTTGCCATTGCAGCTTTAACTGATCAAGATTGGTTTCTCTCTGATCTTTAGTCAAATAAACGGCGTGAAGAGCCTTCCTGTAAAACCTGCAAATGTCAGTTAGTGGCTGTAGACGTGTGAAGACTCTCAGCTGTCAGAGTGAGGGCGTTAAACACTTCCTCCTCACAGGTTTAAAGCCATTTTAACGGCTTTAATACATTAATTCTGTCAGTGGGAATCCTCCGTCTGCTCGACCAATCAGCTGTCAGCGTTGTCAGCACAGCTGGAGGCGGATCTGTCCAGTAACCAGCTGCATTAGATGAAACTGACAAAACATTAGCCCAGTGGGCAAGATTTAGACTTCATCAAGGAGCTGGTCCTTTCATAATAAAAGCACAAGCTGAACATGGGTGAGCAATGCTCTAGAGTCAAATTATCACCTCAGCTCAGAAACTCCAGCTTTTGAGGCTCTGGGCTACGTCTGGCAGCAGGAAGTTGCAGGACTTCATTCGGTCCTTCAAAATAAGAGTCTTAAATATTAAGTAGAACAAAATAGGAGGAGGTGGGGGACATTAAGTCCGAGTGGGCCCTGTTCCGTACTTCCATTGTCAAGGCGACTGACCGAAGCTGCGGGCTGCAGGGTCGTCGGTACCTGACGTGGTGGCAATTCTCAAACCCGCTGGTGCACACCGATGGTCAGGGATGACGTCAAGCTGAAGAAAGAGTCCTATCAGGTGTTTTGGTCTGTGGGACTCCAGAGGCAGCTGATAGGTACCGGCGGGCCAAGCGGATAACGGCTTGGATGGTTGCGGAGGCAAAATCCCGGACGTGGGAGGAGTTCAGTGAGACCATGGAGCAAGACTTCCGCATGGCTTCGAGGAGATTCTGGTCCACTATCCAGCACCTCAGGAGGGGAAAGCAGTGCGCTACCAACACTGTTTATAGTAGTGACGGTGTGCTGCTGACCTCCACTCGAGATGTTGTGGATCAGTGGGCAAGTCTTCCAGTGAGGAAGCAGAGTCCGGGGACTTTGGGTTGGGCTCTCAATTCTCTGGTGCTGAGGTCACTGAAGGTGTCAAAAAGCTCCTCTGTGGCAAGGCCCCGGGGGTGGATGAGTTTCTTAAGGCTCTGGATGTTGTAGGGTTGTGTTGGCTAATGTGGCTCTGCAATATCGCATGGACATCGGGGGCAGTTCCACTGGATTGACATGCGGGGTTGGTGGTTCCCTTATTAAATAAGGGGGGCCGCAGGATGTGTTCCAGCTGCAGAGGGATCACACTCCTGAGCCTCCCTGGTAAGTTCTATTCCGGGGTTCTGGAGAGGAGGGTCCAGTGGATTGTTGAACCTCAGAATCAGGGGGAACAAAGTGGTTTTCGTCCTGGCTGTGGAACACTGGACCAGCTCCATACCATTAGGGGGTCCTGGAGGGTGCGTGGGAGTTCGCCCAACCAGTCTACATGTGTTTTGTGGATTTGTAGAAGGCGTTCGACCGCGTCCATCACGGGGCCCTGTGGGGGATACTTTGGGATTATGGGGTACCAGGCCCTGTGATAAGAGCTGTTAGGACCCTGTATGACCGGTGCCAGAGTTGGGTCCGCATTACCGGCAGGAGGTTGAGCTCATTTCCGGTAAAGGTTGGACATCGCCAAGGCTGCCCTTTGTCACCGATTCTGTTCATAACTCTTATACACAGGATTTCTTGGTGAAGCCAAGGTGTGGGGGGCATCCGTTTTGGTGGCCTGAGGATCAGGTCTCTGCTTTTTGCAGATGATGTGGTCCTGTTGGCTTCATCAGAACCTGGTCTTCAGCTTTCGCTGGAGCGGTTTGCAGCCGAGTGTGAAGCAGCTGGGATGAGAATCCGCTCCTCTAAATCTGAGACCATGGTCTTGATTCAGAAAAGGGTAGAATACCTTCTTCGGGTCAGGGATGAGGTCCTGCCCAAGTGGAGGAGTTTATCTCGGGGTCTTGTTCACGAGTGAGGGAAAGCTGGAGCGTGAGATCGATAGGTGGATTGGTGCTGCATCTGCAGTGATGCGGGCGTTGTACCGGTCTGTCGTGGTGAAGAGAGAGCTGAGTCAGAAGGCGATGCTCTCGATTTACCGGTCGATCTACGTTCCTACCCTCACCTATGGTCATGAGCTTTGGGTAGTGACCGAAAGAACGAGATCACGGATACAAGCGGCCAAAATGAGTTTTCGCCGAAGAGTGTCTGGGCTCTCCCTTAGAGATAGGGTGAGAAGCTCAGTCATTCGGGAGGGGCTTGGACTAGACCCGCTGCTCCTCCACGTCGAGAGGAGACAGTTGAGGTGGCTCGGTTCATCTGGTTAGGATGCCTCCCTAGTGAAGTTTTCCGGGCACGTCCAACTGAGAGGAGACCTAAAGGAAACCCAGGACACGCTGGAGGGACTATGGGTGTTTCTCAGTGTCAAGACTCCTGGCCTTGCAAGGCGATGTCTTGCGAGGCCAGGAGTCTTGCTTACAAGGACACGGTCCTTCCTTGGTCAAAGAAAACGGTTAAATGCAACAGACTTGCATCACGTGACACAGGAGCTAACGTTATATTTTATACGTATTAATTTCAACATAAATATATAACGAGCCTTTTACTTTTTAAATTGTGTATATGTTTATTAAATTAAATATATAAGTGAGTTACTACCCGCTAGCCACCGAAGCTGCAACTACTAAGCTACTAACCAACCATTGATAACTTCTTTGGATCTAAAAAAAAACATTTTAAATTAGCTGACCTACTTTTAAGCTTGAAATTTGTCCCCGAAGTAGCTCCCGGCTTCTGATCTGCCGTCCTTTAGAAAATACTGCGGTGCATTCTGGGTAATTTTTGACCAAGGCTAGGCTACAAGACACCTCCTGTGTATCCTCGCTCAGCTAGCTAAATGGCTAACAAACGGAGAACACACGCCTCGGTAGAACATGAACATTGGAACACGCCTTGGCGGCTCCTGCTGACGTATCTCCTAGGCAACCGGGGCGGGGCCAAGACACCAAGGCAAGGTTCCTTGGCATTGAGAAACTATTTATGTCTCTCAGCTGGCCAGGGAACGCCTTGGGATTCCCCCGGAGGAGCTGGCCCAAGTAGCTGGGGAGAGGAAGTCTGGGCCTCCCTGCTTAGGCTGCTGTCCCCGCGACCCGACCTTGAATAAGCTGCCGAAAATGGATGAATGAATTGAGCAAAATAGCTCATAAACCCTGAATTTTCTTAAAGCCTTTTTTGTTATTCTCTTGTAAAATTGATTTTGCACCGTAAGCTGCTTGGAATTCTGGGAAATATAATCACCTTAGTCAGTTTGCACAAGGCATTATGGGCCTCTGGTTCGTTCTCAAACCCTCAGCAGTGGTTCACAATCCTGATCCTGGAGGGCCAGTCCAGCAAGTTTTAGTTGTTTCTCTGCAGTAGCCTGTGGATTACCGAGTGATTGAAATCAGGTGTGTTGAAGCAAGTTAATCTGGATACCGGCACTCCAGGACCAGGACTGAGAACCACTGACCCTCAGTAAAATCAGGTCTGCCAACTTTTGAACATTGCAAAGAGTGAAACCGGGTCACAGGGCTGGGAGCGGACAATTCGCCGACCGTTTAGAGCTGGGGGGTAATTAATGTTGAGACTTTTTGTGCTCTACATTTTATTTTTACTCTGTACGGAAGAGGATTAGAGCCACTGAAAAGAAAAAAATAAATAAAGAAAGATAATTCTGACTTTTTTCCCTGAATTCCCTGTCAGAACTCCGAGATGAAAAGTCAGAATTCTGAGAAAAACGGAAGAATTCTCTTTCTGTTCTTTTCTTTTTTCCTTTTTGTAATCGTCTTCCATACCTCTGACTTTACAGAGGCAACTTATCTCAGAATCAGAATCAGAATAAGCTTTATTGCCAGCGCTCCAGCGACCCGGAGCATAGGAACTTGACTCCGCAAACGCAACCTGACCCAAGGTTAAACACACACACATGTAGACAAAAACAGGTACAGGCAGTCACGAGAGCAGCCATAACGGCGCTCATTTCATTAGATGAAAATGGTGTTACATGAGGATAACTGGGGTAAGGTAAAAAAAAAGGCATAGCAGAGTTAGAACCAGCGGGGAGTAGCTCTATTATACAAAAAACTCCTCAACATAGAAGCCCGAACATCACAGATACGAAACATCAGAATCCGATGGGGAGGCGGGGTTGGGCGGGATCCTGAATCATCATCTATCTATCTATCTATCTATCTATCTATCTGTCTATCTATCTATCTATCTATCTATCTATCTATCTATCTATCTATCTATCTATCTATCTATCTATCTATCTATCTATCTATCTGTCTATCTATCTATCTATCTATCTATCTATCTATCTATCTATCTGTCTATCTGTCTATCTATCTATCTATCTATCTATCTATCTATCTATCTGTCTATCTATCTATCTATCTATCTATCTATCTATCTATCTATCTATCTATCTATCTGTCTATCTATCTATCTATCTATCTATCTATCTGTCTATCTGTCTATCTGTCTATCTATCTATCTATCTATCTATCTATCTATCTATCTATCTACAGTAAAGAGTTACAGGAACTTTTAATTATAATGAATGTAAATTATTTAATTTCCATCTGGGGGGGGGGGGTAATATCATGTCATTCATAATATTACCAGTTATTATTTCTGCCAAGAAAAACAAACTATCATGTTAAGCTAACTTCATGATGTAGTTGCATCCACTAAACAGGATTATGTTCATGTGTTCATCAGCATGAAGTTAATGAAGTCATCAAAGCAAACAGGGCTGGAATCAGTTTTCCTGTAATCTGTGTCTCTAAGTGTGTGTGCTGCTGTAATGAGTGGATGTCCCCTCTGTGGGACTAATAACATTTACTCTATTCTATTCTATTCTATTCTATTCTATTCTATTCTATTCTATTCATTCATTCATATCAGCCAGCAGGAAAAAAGTTTATGGAATTTAGGCCTTTCCAGGCTTCCGTACCAGTAGCCTGGTTATGGAGGAGGGGTTATGGTGAAGTGGTGAATTACAACATTAGGATTCCTAATGTTGTAATTCACCGCATCTCCAACTGATGTAGGAGAGGGAACGTGTGAGTGAGCCACCACGGTAGGCAGCCCAGCTTGCTGTGAGCGAGGATCTGTGGCCGATGAGTGAAAACAAAAGAAAGACATTCGGGACTGAAGCTCCGTCAACACGACTGCATTTCTAAATAAAGCATGCCATTATGGCGGCGTGCGCAGCCGCAGCTCACGGTTCTGGCAAGGGCACCCCCAAGGGGTGGCCAGGGGTGGCCATGGCCACCCCAATAAAGTTGCTGGCCCTCCCAGGAAAAGCCAGTGGTAACAAATTATATCAATGTTCAATCAAACCATAATATATTGTTTATTCAAGACAAAAATGTAAAACAAAATAAAAATTATACAATTAATGAGTAAAGAAATAATCAGAATAAAGAAAACATGTTTCTGCTGCTCACCATTTAAAACAAGTTTTTATCTCCGTAGTGTTTTGTGTGAAGACAGCAACAGGTGAATTAAACTAAAAATAATTGTTTAAATTAAACGTGGGATAACATTTTAAATAACTGAAACTTATTTTTCTAAAATGTTTGTAAAATTTAAGTTAAATGTTTTGGATACATTCTGTTATATTAATAAAAATGAATAAAGGTGCAATTCAGCACATCGCCACAGACTAAATTCAACCAGAGTTACCACAAGGACCAATTTGGTGTGCCACCCCAAAAATTTCTTTGGCCCCATCTTGCCACCTCTATCTAAAGTTCTGGAAGCGCCCCTGGGTTCTAGCAGAAAGAACCGGGCATGCCCGTCCCATCAACAGCAGGTGGAGCTCACGGCTCCGCCCATCTCACAATCAGAGCGGGAAAAAGCGCATGGCCTTGGATTATACAGATGGGATTATGTGTGAAATAAGCCAGTAAAATGATTACTTAAGTGTTGTTCGTGTTTAGTGGCTAATGCTATCATTAATATCATCTGGTTTTTCATAAGCCGTACACACGGTGTGTGACGCGCGTTTGGGGAGCGCAGGCGCTGGTTTACCGTGCGAGCGTGTGAACAGGGTCAGTGCGTGAGAGTTGGCAGCCCTGGTATAGTTTTGTATTTTTATAAAGGCTCTAGTACTGATTGGTTTTTGGTCTACATTATGTGCGAGCACATGTTAGCGTGCTAGCATTAGCATGCTTGATAGCTGTTGATTCCCATCCGAGTATGAAAAACCAGCTGATGCCAGTAAAAACCCGTTTGTTCAAGGCTCCTCCTAATAAACCCACTATGACCCACGCTGTGGGCGTTCTGCTCCACCGCTGCGTCTCTTCCGTGGACAGCGACACCGGAGGAGAATCTTTAATGAACTAACCCAGAAGAACTACATCAGGAATCACGTTTGACCAAGATGAGACATTGTCCTTTTCCGAGGCTCTCCTAAAGCGTTTCCAAACCACAACTTTCATCGAGTAAAAACGGATCTGATGTAGTAATCTGCTGCTGATTTTACTCACGTTGGTGTTTCACATCTACACGTGTTCCCAGCAGCCCTGGAGTCAGAACAGACGACAGCTTTAAGACTCGTTACTGTGACTTATACAAGCGCCGGCTGCTCCTGTCACTCACGGCCTGGTATTTAGCATACCTGACATCCATGCAGTAAAGAAAATTTACTGCCGCTCCTGATCTGAGGAGCGTCTCCTACAGCGTCTCCTGCAGCGTGTACAGTTGGGTAGAAAAGTTCTCTAAACGGTCAAGTTTCAGGAATCAAAATAAAAAGTCTAATGAATAAAACCTCAGATCTACAAACGCTCGTGACAGATTTGATTCAACAACGTTTACACTGGAACATTAAGGTGTGATTGCTGATGCTCGTCATTCACCAGATCTACAAAAGTAAGAGCAGGAGATCCGGGTTGTGGTTCCGTCCACCGGTTGGACACGGGGGAGTCGTGCTCATCATACCAGAACAGCAACATTCAGAACAGGATCTTTTACCATTAAAATGTTTCCTCAGAGGGATTTTTGAACCTTTTACCCCGTTGAAAAACGGCTTCCTGAACAACCTCTGCTTAGAGAAACAGCTTACGAGTCCTGAAGACAGTCAGGACCAGAGCCATCCTAAAGCATGCGTCATGTGATGCTTTACACACACCGACACCACGCTGTATCGTATTAAACACTGAACCCAGCAGAGAGACGTTTGTTTATTCGTTTAGCTAATGCTTTCACCCAAAGTTACAACCCGGACGTGCGTGGAAGCCAGCGTGCAAACTATGCAGAAAGGCTACAGCTGGGATTTAAACCTACAATCTTCTTGCTGCTAGGCCACCGTGCTACCAACAGTGCCACCGTGTAGCCGTTCCAGTTCCAGTTGGTGTTTCTAAACAGCTGCAACACCAGACTAGCCGTTAGCTCACAGGTCTTAAAAGCAGAGACCCCGTTTCTCTGAACCGAGGCTGTTCCGGTTGGAGGAGTTGGACAGAAAAATGCATTTCAAAATGGCCGTCACATTAACTTTTCCATCTCACTTCCCTGCAGACGACTCCATCTACGAGTCTCCGGAGCCCTTCCTGACCGACGACACCACCGGCAGCGGGAGCCTCGCTCTGCCATCCGCCATATTGCTCACCTTTCTCCTCATCGTCCTCCTCGCCTCCTCGTAGCACCTCCTCCTCGTTCTCCTGCTGCTGTGAAGACGACCTGAAGAACACCAATCCTCCTCTGGACCAATTAGGAGTGGGAGGTCTGCAGTGGGCGGAGTTTGGAGCTGCTTGTTGACTCCATTCGGAGTTCCTGGGAAAGAAGCGAATAAAATCTGTTAAAGATCCATAAGCTGAGACTCTACCGACCGCCAGGCTTGAACACCCACCAGGAGCATCTAGTCTTACTGTTTTAGTTCCCAGTCTGATGCCAAAGATTAGAAAATTCTTCCTCTTTGCAAAAACAAAATAATGCAGCTTTCCGTTCATAATGTCAGGACCAGTTAAGAGAATCCAACCAGCAACTCGGCTTTCCAGGTTAGAAACACCTTTAATAAAGTCGCTGTTTGGCTGCAAACCGGTGCCTGTCGGAACGTATGAAGCAATAATTTAATCTGGATTAATGGTTCTTTGAGCTCTTTTGTGCATGAGCCGTGCTTACGGTAAAGGGTTAATAAAAGTAAAATAAGGTTAAAAAACCAAAGCGTGTCAAAAATAAATAAATATAAATAAAGCCAGCAAATTTAGATTTTATTTATTGTTTTTTTTCCTGCATGACAAATAAAAACTTGTTTGATATTTATTAATTTAATTTAGTTACTTTGATGTTTTTGTAGTTAGGAAGGAAAAAGGTCATTTTAAAGAGACAAAGAGCCGCTCAAGGTTAAAACCTGCAGTCACGCTTAAAGGATCCGCGGTTGGGTCTTACTGACACCTAGTGGTCAGATTACAGAAAGCAGCTACAGAGATTAAAACCATTGGATTTTATGAAAGTTAGAAATGTGGAAAAAATTAAAAAAAAAGGTTATTTTTCATAAATTCTCCAGCAAACCCGTCAGTGAGACTAAAAAAATAAAGATTCTGATGTTTTTTTAGATTCCTGTTGAGACTCGCTGAAGCTGTGAGAGGAACCCTTAAAGAGGGTTAGAGGGAACTTTTAGGGATTTGATTTAGTTCGGTGTTTAATCTGAACACGGATGTGGTTAAAACACATCTGTCGTGTGATGGACGACTCACTTCCTGTTTTACCTGTGAAACGAGGCGGTCGGTGGAGTCCAGCTTCAGCCGGGGACTCCGTGGATCAGAGACGCTGGAACGCATCCTCAGTGACATCACTGGGTCTGAACGAACCAGAACCAGAACCGACTGACTTGGAGGATCCCAGCAGCTTCATTCCAATTCCAGGAACATCCGTTTAATCCCGTGGGATTACCGTCACATACGAACCGCAGACACCTGAAACCTAAACGGAGAGACAGGAAAGTGGAATCCATCAGTGAGCGACTCTGTCAGATCCGGTTTTATCCGGCTCAGGCTGAAGTCTGGAACTGCACAGAAGCTGGTTTTAGTTTCGGAGCCACCGCCGCTCTGGGGTACTGATGGAGATGGAGCTATTGTACGCGGGCACCACCGGTCCCCCCGACCCCCTCCTTTAGGTAAGAAAAGTCAAGTGTCTTGCTCAAGGACACAACGGCCGTGACAGACTGAGCGGGGCTTGAACCTGGGTAGGGCTGGCTGCGGTTCCTATCTGACGGTAATCTCCATCTTAATCCGTAACAAGAGTAAAACCTTTGAGCGCCACAGCAGCAAACTTCTCCTTCCAGTCGATGGCCTTTTCTCTATCCAGCTCTGCCAAAGACTCTTGTTAAACTTTTCTACGGAATGCCTCTTCGAGGTCAGGGGTCACGGGGGAGGGGCTGGGCCACTCAGCAGCTCAAGGGGGAGGAGCCTATGTTTGATTTTCTAAAATCTCTCGTTATGTAGTACAAGATAAAAATGAATGTTCTGCGCAAAATACAAACAAACATCAATAAATGGCCTTTATCCCCACTGGTGCTGAATTTTGAAGAGACTGGAAACCAGCGCCACCGTGTGGTGGAGGTGGAGCTTTTCATCAAACCCCCATACCGTTCCGTTTTCTTCATCACCTCATATCATCCCTCCGTCTCTCGCCTGACGGAGGGGGCGTGTCCTTGTGAGTGGACGAGCAGGGGCATGCTGGGAAATGCAGTATCTGAAACAAACGCACTGTGACGGAGACCAACGGCGATGTGACACGACTCCTGTGGAGAATGAAGGAAATAAACTGGAGGTCAAAGTTTCCACGCTGAGAAGAAAAGCAGGAAAACTCAAAGTTGGTTTCGTTTTCTCTGTGCCATTTTTATTTTTCTGTTTTGAGAAAAACCAGGAGGAAACTCACACGAGATGTAAAGTCTGACGTTTGTTGTTGTTGTTGCTGTAGTTGTTGTTGTTTTCCTTTCCTTTGTGCTTGCACCACATTGCATTCTGGTCCGTGTAGTTCTGTGACTTCTGGTTCTGTTGGAGCGTGTTGGTTCAGTGGGTCTTCTGGATTTGTCACCGTTTCATGCATTGATTTTTCTGTGAATTAAATTAGTTTTTGTGGCATTAAAAGTTAAAGGAGTAAAGAAACTTGCAGAAAAAGCGGAGTAGGAGGTGAAAAGCTGGAGGAGAAATGTTTTCTACATCAGATTATCTCCGTATTTTATTCTTTGAAAGACAAAAAAATAAATCTGTTTTTTTATATTTTCTTATTGGATGCTTATAAAGTCCTGTTGTAAAGTAAAATGCAGTCATCTGGTTGGCTTAAGAGCTGACGGGGTCAAAGGTCACCGGGCCTCTTTTCTTTACCTGCGCTGCATGAGCAGGAAACATGAAACCTCGTCATAAATGAAGTGAATTTACGTTGAAGATTTCCGAGAGAAAATGTTAGGATATGAATCTGTGTTTGATAAATCCACCGACAATAAAAGATTTAAAGTCCCGCTGAAGATGTTTTTCCTTCTTCCTCTGAGGCGTTTCAGCCAAGCGGAGATAAGATGGACTTCCTGTGAATGAGTATTCCTGCCAGGAATACAGCTGCTTCCTAAATGTGATTCATCTTAACGTTTAAAGGTCTGGTTCCCATAGAAACCCCTAACCCTAAGCCACCCAAGAAAGAGTGAAGGTAGTGGAAGAGTGGCGTTGCTGTCAGCAGTAATGAATCGTCTCCAGTTGGTTCAGAAGTCGGCAGCCAGGTTTCCGGCGGGGACGAGGAAATCAGCACATATTACTCCCGTGCTGGCATAATTACACTGGCTTCCTGTGGTCTTTGGGGTGAAATTTAAAGTCCTCTGCTTTGTCTACCGGTCACCATGTGGTAGTGCTCCACCATACTTGGCAGCACTATTAACACAAAACACCCCATCACGATCTCTACGCTCGGCTGAGCTGGAGCTACTGGCTGTTCCTCACTCCCGGTATGGATCTAGAGGAGGTCAGGCTTTCCAGGTCTTGGCTTTTTCCCTCTGGAATGAGCTGCCTCTCAGCATCAATCAGTTACCCTCACTGCATATCTTCAAGAATCGATAGAAGACTCATTTTTATCGATTGGCTTTGTGCTTCTTATCCTTCTTTATACATAATATATATATATATATATATATATATATATATATATATATATATATATATATACACGTATATATATATACATATACATACGTATATATATATATATATATATATATGTATATATTTATACGTATGTATGCATATACGTATATTTACATATGCATTTACATATATAAATATATGTATATGCATACATACGTATAAATATATACATATATATATACGTATGTATATGTATATATATATACGTGTATATATATATATATATATATACGTGTATATATATATATATATATATATGTATATATATATATATATACGTGTATATATATATATGTATATGTATATATTTATATATACATATATAGATATATATATATACACGTATATATATATATATATATATATATATATATATATATGTATATATATAATAATATATATATATATATATATGTATATATATAATAATATATATATATATATATATATATATATATATATATATATATATGTGTGTGTCTGTGTGTGTGTGTGTGTGTGTGTGTAACTTGTTTCTTCTGGGAATAAAGGAATTCATTTAAATGAGTTCCTCTGTGGTGGACCTTGGAGGAAAGACTGTTATTGTTTATTTTATTATTATCTCTGTCAGGGCTACAGTCCAGCTGGTGTGAGGAAGCATGCTCTGATTGAAGGGACTACGTGTAGACTCCCAGTCCATTGTGAGGGGAAAAGTTACTGTAGGATGTGTCACAGCCAGGGTAAGTTTACCTGGCTGTGCATTTGACCTGTGGGATCTCAAAATCAGGCCATGCATGACGTTACAGTGCCTATAAGTAATGGAAGAAGACATTTGTAAGGTAAGTCACACATTACATTCTGAACCGAAAGTTCAGAGCTGAACCGTTCCGTTCTGCTTGTTTCGGATCGTCCAGGAACTCCCGAGACGGCCTGAACAATCAACTGAAAACATGAAACAGCCCTGTGAGGTTTTAGGGTCAGCGGTGGGATTAATGAGTCCGAAGGTTCAGGAAGTGCTTCATCAGAACAGATAAAAGGTGGGGGGACGGGCCGGTTCTTGTTTAACCCAGTGAGACTGAAACTCTGAGAAAAGGAGAAGATGGCAGCAGGCCAACGCCCGCCGCAGTTCGGCCATATTGTTGTTATTACCTCATTAAGAGGTCGGACTGCCTCCCGCTGTTTGGTTGGAAGCCAGCTGAGTTTGGCAGAACGCCCGGATCAAACCGCCCCTGGCAGCCAATCAGAGAAGAGAACAGCCAGACTGTGAAAGTATCTGAGTACTTACTCAGATTATTAACATACAGCAGCAGCAGATTTATGCTCAGAATCTCTGACACGTTTCATTTAGGCTCATTTTAGAAAAACACACATTTGAGCTGTTTTTAACTTAGTGATTTTGGCTCTCATCCAGAAAGGTTTGGACCCTCCTTCAGTCCTGGTCCGGTCCCAGACTTCACAGGACCCTGGGTCTGGGTCAGGACTCCTACACACACACACACACACACACACACACACACACACACACACACACACACACACACACACACACACACACACACACACACACACACATTCCTGCAGAGGAATGTTCGTCACTCATTCATTTAAGTCAGGCATGTGGCAGCAGGGAAACACCTAAAACATGCAGGACAGCAGGGCATTGAGGACCAGGCTTGAGAATCCCAACTTCATAGAGTCACTCTGACACCTGCTGGTCACATCAGATCATTACAGCTAATCTCCTTCATGTAATAGAAGCGGGATTTGTCACCAGCTGTTAAAATTCCAGCAATGTTCTAACTTTCCTGCTAAAGGTGATCAGGAATCACCACTAAGCTGTCACTAAACCACAAACTCTTTAGTCCGGGTTGGATCCGTAAAACTAGACGTAAAATGTGTTATGAACCCCTGATATTGTGTGGTGTAAAATGTTCTTTTTGATATTATTTGTATTTTTTGTAATGTTCTGACTGTAAATGAAGGTTTGTAAAATAAAAAAGTTGCAAGGGGGATCTTCTGCCCACAGGGGGCGATAGAGGCTGGGTGGCCTTTCACTAACCTTCTAAAGAGTCATTCTAGCACGAACTGGCTCAAGAAAATGATTTAAATAAGAAAAAGTATCTATTCAATGCTTGTTTTAGCTGTTTTTTCTGAATAGATTTTTTTTTAGCTTTTGAATCTTCAAACTCTCGACGGGCTATGAACGCAGCACGTTCTCGTGTGTTTCTGACGTCATTACGTAGTTAGAAGTAAACTTCCTGGTTGGATTGTCAACAAAGCGGTGTCGGGTTACACGTAGTGGGACGTGTCTGAAGGAAAATCCGGTTCTGTTCCGGTACCGGTTCAGAACTCGATCCGTTCAAGAGTCTCGTCTACTTGCGTCGAACTTCTTTTCAGATATGAAAATGACTTTTCGTCGACTTTTGTCGTCGATTATCGTGTCTTTATGTTGGCTGTTTGTGTTCGTTGTGGAGGAAGCGGTGACCAACAACGTCACCGCGGCGCCCGACGCCACCGTGAAGCCCTCCAGCCAGGGGAACTCCACGAGCGCCCGCCCGGTGATGACTTTCGACGGCTCCCATGTGAACAGCTCCATGATCCAGAGGGCCCTGTTCGTCCTCATAGGCATCACGATGATCGGAGTTCTCTACTTCCTCATCCGAACTGTGCGGTAAGAACCTCCGACGGGATTCAAACCCACAACCAGCTCAGGTTCTCACAGATGGCCACCCGGGAACGGAGGGCTGTTAAAAGGCACGAATGGAGTTTGGCCTAAAGGGAAGTTCCTCAAACAAAGATCCTTAAAGTTTTAGATTTTATTGTTCCAAAGCTGATAAATGAGTCCAAATGTTTAAAATCTCTCCACAGATTAGTTCATGGACCCCAAACCACTGAGATTAAGATTAGAATTAGAAACAAAACACCGATATCAACATGAAAGGAAAATTCTGGAAGTCAAAAGCTGGTTGAAAATAGTTTATGAATTTAATAAACTCTACAAAAGTAAATTTAAGTCAGTGTAGTAAACGTTGTTTTTAGGTGAAGTAACATTCGTGTATTTAGTTGCTAAAGAATACCAGAATTCGTCATTTCTGGAAAACAGCTTCCAGGGTGATAAACAGCATTCCTACATTTAATGATCCTTGTTTCTAAACTGAGCAGCTGTGGTGATCTTCCAGAGGTCCGGACGCCTTTGTTAACCGGGTCTGGACGTATACTGGACCCTGTTTCTTGAAGACGTCCACCTGAGCACGTCCAAAGGGAGGACTCTGGTGCCCGGAGTGTCCGGGTTCTCCGGAGAGCTGCTCTCCTCGTCTGCATCTGATTTAATTTTCTGAATGACCGGATCACTCCTCGCTGTACCGGACTCTCTGAGGTGACCCGGGTTCTGGTTGAAGGCTGCCTGGATGTTGTGTTTGGGGAAATTCTTGCGGGTCCACAAGTCTTCCATGTGCGTTGGCCTGTTGATGCTCTCCCCACTTCCCCAACCAGGAGGAAACATCTGGTTCTGAGTTTCGACACACCCTGGTGATGCGATGGTTTCCCACAACCACTTCTGTCTTTTATCAGAGACTGAGAGGAGTCGATGTTAACGGCCAAAGATCACCTTTTAGTCACTTTGTTGTCGTTCTCGTCTCGGCTGTGAGAAACATTACGGTAATCTGGATTATACTGATTTGAAAACTTTCCTGTCTTCCCGTTAAAGCCAGATGATATTCTGCTGATGGACTCATCCCCACGGCGCCACGTTTCTCCAGATCGGCTTAATACTTGTTGCAGCTGGAAGGGTGACAACGTTCTGATTAGCTCACATTTATCTTAATCCAGATTACGCCCTCAGGTGACGACATGTGTTAAAGATAATAAATGCTAAATGGCATTCTTATGGTTCTACAATCCCCCAAGGCAGCATTCTCTGGTCGGAGTCGGGATTGAACCTACAACCTTCCGGTTACTGGACGACCCGCTGTACCCCCTGAGCTGCTGTCCCGTCATAACGCAAACGCTGTTCCAGAACCTTCTGTAGTCTCTGTGAAAACGTCATATTTAACAAGAAGAAGAAGAAAGTATCATTTCTATAGCGATAAAAACTCACAAGGCGTTTCACAAAAACAAAAAATGTAAAAATATAAAAAAGCATTCTAATGAGCTTTGAAAGAAAAGCGTCTGGACTGCCCCCTGCAGATGTGAACCAGCTACTAGTTGCTAACAGAAGGGAACATCTCTTTATTGGGGTCATTTTGGTGTCAACACATTCACCACAGAAGCAAAGAAGAATTAAAATAAAGAAGAATAAATGATTTAGAAGTTGTGATGAAGTCGTTTTGTCTGGAGTCGAGCTGCTCTGGCCCTCAGGTGGACCGGTATGTTTACAAACCCAGATTCTGGTCTTGGACCCGTCAGCGGTTTCGCTCTCAGACTTACTCACGCATTTTGGTTCATGCTGCGGTTCTGCAGGTCTTTAAACTCATCATTAAAGGCTGGAAACCAACTGAACCCCGTCATCTGTTCAGACCTTCGGCCGGTAATCCAGTGGGATGAATACTGCCATCTTTGTTCACCCATGTCTGTTTTCATGCATCTTTCTATTGCGACTTGCTCCGTGGCGTTATCAGAGTTTCCCCGGTGAACTGGGAGCGTTAAGCAGAATGTTTGATTTTTAACTCGTTCGCTGCCGGCCGTTTCCTGATCAGAAAGCCCTTCACATTTCCAGCGTTATCCATTCTTTCATAATCCGTTGTTGAATTGTGATCTGCAGAAGCTTTTCCGGTTCGCGCCTCACTTCTTTTTACAGCAGCGGCCAAAAATGATCTCCTAACACATGGATTTCTGCTTCCTGATCACGTGACATGTGACGTACGCAGATGAAGATTGGCTTTAGAGCTGAGATGTTTGTTCTCACGGTGTGGGGGCTCGTCCGACACCCACACAGTAAAAAATATGCCATTGACGACTTTAGTCGTCAATGGCAGTGAATGAGTTAAAAATAATTTCGGCCGATATAGAATAAATTGAATTTGTCAGCCCGATATATCGGTCGGCCTCCACCCTCATCCCGCTCTCCACCGACTGTACAGCCTGTTGCTGTAGAACGTCGGTCACCTTACTAGAAGGTACCAGAAGGTAGCACCTGAGGGGGATTAAATAACCCAGAAGTCGTTGGCGTCGTCTTCCTCCGCTTATCTGGGTCCGGGTCGCGGGGGCAGCATCCCAACTAGGGAGCTCCAGACCGTCCCCTCCCCGGCCATCTCCACCAGCTCCTCCGGCAGGACCCCAAGGCGTTCCCGGACCAGATTGGAGATGTAACCTCTCCAACGTGTCCTGGGTCGACCTGGGGGCCTCCTGCCGGCAGGACATGCCTGAAACACCTCCCCAGGGAGCCATCCTGACCAGATGCCCAAACCACCTCAACTGGCTCCTTTCGACCCGGAGGAGCAGCGGTTCTACTCCGAGTCCCTCCTGAATGTCCGAGCTCCTCACCCTATCTCTAAGGCTGAGCCCGGCCACCCTACGGAGGAAACTCATTTCGGCCGCTTGTATCCGCGATCTCGTTCTTTCGGTCATTACCCAAAGCTCATGACCATAGGTGAGGATTGGGACGTAGATCGACCGGTAAATCGAGAGCCTGGCTTTCTGGCTCAGCTCCCTCTTCACCACGACAGATCGGCTCAGCGTCTGCATCACTGCAGACGCCGAACCAATCCGCCTGTCGATCTCCCGATCCCTCCTACCCTCGCTCGTGAACAAGACCCCGAGATACTTAAACTCCTCCACTTGAGGTAGGACCTCTCCCCCGACCCGGAGTTGGCAAGCCACCCTTTTCCGGTAACCCAGAAGTGGTAAATAAAATGAAGCTTTTATTTAAGAAATATAAATAAAATATATTTGATCTGATCAAATAATTAGATTGTTCATTTGAGCCCTCCCACTGTGCAAAGACCCAGTTTGGACGTCCTACAGACGGGGTCTGGTCCGACAGACTCAATGCGACGTTGACTGTTTGCAGGGCTAGTTATAATTATTTAAACTTTTATTCATCCATAAATACATAAATACCATAAAATCCTAACTCTAGCAGCTCTGTGGTTCCTGACTCATGTTTCTGTAATGATGATGATGATGATGTCATCATTAGGCTGAAGAAACCCAGCCAGAGGAAGAAGTACGGTCTGCTGTCCAACTACGACGACTCGGTGGAGATGGAGGCAGTGGAGAGCGAGGAAGACGACACGCTGTACGAAGCTCGCAGCCTCCGCAGGTCAGAGGTCAACAGGCACTGAACCAGAACCCAAATGGATTCTGAAAAAAGCAGATTTTCACTTTTTCTTTTGTTTTTCTTTATTGGTTTAATTCTTCTGTTAATCAGCAACGTTTCTCATGCAAAACTGCTAAAGAAAAATTGTTTAAAACGTCTTTAAAATAGTCAGAAATGTTCAAATTACGTTTTCTAAAGAGATAAATTAATTAGGTCAAATAAAATATACACTCAACAAAAATATAAACACAACACCTTTGTTTCTGCTCCAATTTTTCATGAGATAGACATAAAGATCTAAAATTCATTCCAGATACACAATATCACCATTTCTCTCAAACATTTTTCACAAATCAGTCTAACTGTGTCATAGTGAGCACTTCTGCTTTGCTGAGATAATCCATCCCACCTCACAGGTGTGCCACATCAAGATGCTGATCCGACATCATGAGTAGTGCACAGGTGTACATTAGACTGCCCACAATAAAAGGCCACCCTGGAATGTGCAGTTTTGTCTCACAGCAAAATGCCACAGATGCCACAAGCATTGAGGGAGCGTGCAATTGGCACGCTGACAGCAGGAATGTCAACCAGATCTGTTGCTCGTGCATTGAATGTTCATTTCTCCACCATAAGCCATCGCCAAAGGCATTTCAGAGAATATGGCAGTACATCCAAACAGCCTCACAACCGCACACGACGTGTAACCACACCAGCCCAGGACCTCCACATCCAGCAGGTTCACCTCCAAGATCGTCTGAGACCAGCCACTCAAGACAGCTGCTGAAACAATTGGTTTGCATAACCAAACAATTTCTGCACAAACTGTCGGAAACCGTCTCAGAGAAGCTCAACTGCATGCTTGTCGTCCTCATCGGGATCTTGACCTGACTCCAGCTCGTCGCCGTAACAGACTTGAGTGGGCAGATGCTCACATTCGATGGCATCTGGCACGTTGGAGAGGTGTTCTCTTCACGGATGAATCTTGGTTTGCATTGTTCAGGGCAGATGGCAGACACAGTGTGTGTGGCATCGTGTGGGTGAGCGCTTTGCTGATGTCAGTGTTGTGGATCGAGTGGCCCATGGTGGTGGTGGGGTTATGGTATGGGAAGGCATCTGTTATGGACGAAGAACACAGGTGCATTTTATTGATGGCATTTTGAATGCACAGAGATATCGTGATGAGATCCTGAGGCCCATTGTTGTGCCGTACATCCATGAACATCACCTCATGTTTCAGCAAGATAATGCACGGCCCCATGTTGCAAGGATCTGTACACAATTGTTGGAAGCTGAAAATGTCCCAGTTCTTGCATGGCCAGCATACTCACTGGACATGTCACCCGTTGAGCATGTTTGGGATGTGCTTGACCGGCGTATATATCCAACAACTTCGCACACCCTGGAATGTGCAGGTTCTGTGCACACCTGTGGACCAACATTCCGCAGGCCACAACTGACAATCTGATAAACTCTATGTGAAGAAGATGTGTTTCACTGCATGAGGCAAATGGTGGTCACACCAGAAACTGACCGGTTCTGAGTCCCCAGACCCCCAATAAAGCAAAAAACTGCACATTCCAGGGTGGCCTTTTATTGTGGGCAGTCTAAGGTACACCTGTGCACTACTCATGATGTCTGATCAGCATCTTGATGCTGCACACCTGTGAGGTGGGATGGATTATCTCAGTAAAGCAGAAGTGCTCACTATCACACATTTAGACTGATTTGTGAACAATGTTTGAGAGAAATGGTGATATTGTGCATCTGGAATGAATTTTAGATCTTTAAGTCCATCTCATGAAAAATCAGAGCAGAAACAAAGGTGTTGCGTTTATATTTTTGTCGAGTGTAGTTATTTCTGTTTTTCTAACAATCTAAAAACATTTTAGTTGTTAAATAAAAACATAAAATTGTTGCTGAATCTTTTAAATATAATATCTGACGGTTAGGGTTAGATACATAAAGTCAGATTTGTGTGAATGTGTGTTTGATATTCAGAAAAAGAATGATTTCTGATGAACCGTTCTGCGGCAGAGCAGCCGTCGACAGCTGCGGAGAGTTTTATTGATCAGAGACGTAGGAATTTAATCTGATCATCGACCCGGTCTGTGTTTCCAATGCCTCTCTGCTCCAGATGAGCACTGCTCTTTGATGGACCCGACCAGAACACCGGGTGATTGAGAACAACGGACCAAAGAGTCTCGGAAGACAAAAACCAAACCTTCAAGCTGCAGGACGCCGCAGAGCGGGACGACCACCAGGAGGAGTTTGTCGGTGGAAACAGACTTTGTGGATCCTCACGAGGCCAAATCTTTCTCTTTACTAGTTCAGAGTCTCCGTTGTTGTGTTTTAGTTCCTGAGCTTGTCTGCGCTCATGGTTGTGCTGAACTACTGTAGAAGCTCTGAAGGTTCTGTTCACACGAGATGGGACCGATCCATCAGGACTTGACCTCCTGACAGACTCTGACTCTCCTTCCTGCGCAGATAACAAGTGTTAAAGTCTGCTTTTGGTACTGATGCAGCTGATTTTTCTGGTGTTTTCAACTTTAAAAGGAAACAAAGTTTGTGTAAAAAAAATCACATTTATAATAATTTTTCAGGCTTTGATGTTTCCGCTCTACTAACCTAATTTTGTATTAAAATAAAACAAATAAAGAACTTTATTTCTGAGTTGCTGTTGTACTTGTAATGATTGAATCTGGGCCAGAGAGGCCCGGAGCCCAACAGCCTCCACCAGTGGGACCCTAGAGCCGAGAGGCGTGAGAGAAGAAAGCTCCGCTGTTAACATTTCTGTTGTTGGACTCCCACCCGAACTCCAGAACAGCGTCCATTTGAGGGTCCCTTTTTATTCGTTTTACTCTGACATTTTATTGTCGTTCAATTTGTTTTAATGCTAGTCTTATTATACAGGTCCTTCTCAAAAAATTAACATATTGTGATAAAGTTCATTATTGTCTGTAATGTACTGATAAACATTAGACTTTCATATATATTAGATTCATTACACACAACTGAAGTAGTTCAAGCCTTTTATTGTTTCTAATATCGATGATTTTGGCGTACAGCTCATGAAAACCCAAAATTCCTATCTGAAAAAATTAGCATATCATGAAAAGGTTCTCTAAACGATCTATTAACCTAATCATCTGAATCAACTAACTCTAAACACCTGCAAGGTTCATTACTCAAAACCACAATCATGGGTAAGACCGCCGACCTGACTGCTGTCCAGAAGGCCATCATTGACACCCTCAAGCAAGAGGGTAAGACACAGAAAGAAATTTCTGAATGGATAGGCTGTTCCCAGAGTGCTGTATAAAGACACCTCAGTGGGAAGTCTGTGGGAAGGAACAAGTGTGGCAGAAAACGCTGCACAACCAGAAGAGGTGACCGGACCCTGAGGAAGATTGTGGAGAAGGACCGATTCCAGACCTTGGGGGACCTGCGGAAGCAGTGGACTGAGTCTGGAGTAGGAACATCCAGAGCCACCGTGTGCAGGAAATGGGCTACAGGTGCCGCATTCCCCAGGTCAAGCCACTTTTGAACCAGAAACAGCGGCAGAAGCGCCTGACCTGGGCTACAGAGAAGCAGCACTGGACTGTTGCTCAGTGGTCCAAAGTACTTTTTTTGGATGAAAGCAAATTTTGCACGTCATTTGGAAATCAAGGTGCCGGAGTCTGTAGGAAGACTGGGCAGAGGGAAATGCCAACATGCCTGAAGTCCAGTGTCAAGTACCAGTCAAACCTGTTGGCACTCTGCCAGCTGACACAGCCATCCGGCTCCTTAAGAACATCCGTCTTACACGCAACGAACCTTCCTGCCTGTTGTGACCTGGAGACAACTCGAGACCGGACTGGTCGCACCGCGGTTAATCTACGAACTTCAGTGCCTTGAGCTCCACCAGACTTCCTGACATTCCGGATCTGACGGGGGTCTCCGGACACAACAGATTGCGTCTGATGTTTTATTAATAATTAACTCTCTAGTTTACAGCAGACAACAAATTCTTTCACACCTAGAATTCACAATCTCTTTCAGATACAAAGGTTCTGATACACACCTACTTCTCACCACACCACCAACACACACTCATCACATATCGTTATTGATAGCTTGTCATGTATTATCATTAGTTTAGAAAAGAATAAAATTCCTTTTAACTACATACTTGACTCTGCTGAATTAATACGAAGTGTGTTTATGGTCCCTGAACAAGAAAATAATCCTAAACTCTTCTGGTTTAACATTCAAAGATCAGGTTGATATTCTATATTTATATAGAATCATCCCATCTTATTGGTCATATTTAAATATGCAGTCGTTACACTATAAAGGGTGACGCTACAGAGATCACGGTGGCGAGTGTGAAGAGGAGATATCGGATGACTGATGACACAGTTTGTGTAACCAGATAGTCGTAACTGTTTGCAGGTTGAATGAAAGCTGCTACGCAGACCTGCTTCCTTTCTCAGGTAGTAATGCATTCATGTCCAGCCCAGAAACCAGATCGTAGGTCTGAAGGAATGTGGTTGGAAACAAGGTAGTGATCTAAAGACATTATGCAACTGTCCCAGGGACGGGGACAGCACGTGGGTCAGAACAACAGAACAACAAAAACACAGAAGATGGGTAAGTGAAGAGGTTGAGATAAGGAGATGTGGACCCTGGACCGTGATTAGGGATAAAGGAGTTTACATGCTAGGTCTTTCATGGGATGTGGTGATTTCAGGGGGGTCAATAAATCAATGTCCTCCAAACCGAGCCCACATTTTCACCAAGCTGATTTCTAGTTCCTGCACGAGCTCCAGCCAGTTTACGGTTCAGTTTCATGAATGCATGAGTCTGAGATGTTCCAGCTTGATCTAATCCTTCATTTGCCCAAGGAAGTTTGGCCAATTTCTCCCAACAGCTCCAGAAACATTTGATACACCAGGACTCCACAAGCTCCAAAGTGCAGAAACCCGGTAATCATGAATCCAAATATAGAAACGTCTTCTTAATACTCTTTCTAAAGCATCACCAGCATCATCATTCGGTAGGCCAACCGGGTGTCACGTTGTGGGCTGGAGGAGTTGGACCCAACATGCAGACACCCAGAACGACACGAGGCAGGAAAGGATGTAAAAGTTAACATTCTTTATTTAGAACGAAGCCAAAAACCTAGCAGCAGAGCCGGATTAACGCAACGGCAAAGTCGGCACGTGCCTAGGGCCGGATTGGCTGAATGGGGCCCAGACAGAGGGACAAAATTAAAAATAAATAAATTATAATAAAATGTACAAATGTCCTATGATAGAATTTGTAGATAGGACTCCTATCTACAGTTTATTTTAATATTTATTCATTAACTAAAAATAGTGACGATGTTTATCTTAACCACAGACCGTTACATTAGCTACGTCACATTAACGCCAGCCCATGACTGTAGCCTACAACTTGGGCGCCACCCAATCAAGGACGTCAGAGAAGCGGTCAGAGTCGGAGCGGGACTCAACAACGCTAGCAGCTGTTTTTGAGTAGGCTAACTTTCACGATGCTTTCGGGTGCGGCAAAACGTAAAAAGAAAAAAAATGAAGAGGAACAAAAGAAGAGACGGCGGGGGCTTTACAGAAGTTTCTGTCGGGCTGCTCGGGCAGCCGTCCGACAGCTGTGAACCTGCTCGAGTCAGCAGAGCCAGAGGCCGGGCCCGAGCAAGACCCGGAGGAGACACGACCCAAAGATGTGGCGGGATATGCGGCGGAAGACGCTGTGGCGCCAACACCGTCAACATCAACGCCGTCACAGAAGGACGAACTGGAAGAACAGCAGCCAGACAGAAGTGAGCCCAATCTAGTCTTACAGCAGGAGCCGCTAGACCCAGAAAGGGTGTTAACAAGCTACTCGTCTGATCCGGCAAAGTGGTACCAAACTGATGACAGGATGCGTGAGTACTTTGCACTAAACCATCCCTCTCAAAATATTGGATATTCAAAAAATGCAGCCTGCCTAGTAGGGCACGAAGCCAAAAACCTAGAGACCCAAGAGAGGGGGCGACAAACTACGCAGACAAGGACGATGGACCAACAGCACATTGACACGCAGACAGGGTTTTATACACAGGGGCAGGATGCTTGGGAGATGGCCCGCAGCTGCGTGCAGTCGTTCTAATGTCCGTCTCACCACCAGCGTCGGATACCAACGCTCTGGGACGGTGCGTCATCAGTGTGTCCCTGATCGTCGTCTCCTGACGTGCTGGGGTATCCCGAATCGTCATATACTGAGGCTTGGTCTCACGCGTCGTATTTTGACGCTTTGGGTGTGAGAATGTGTTGACTGGGGAACACAAGAGGGGGGCGCAGGATGCAGACCATGACACTGGGTGAGCAAAGTGCTTGGAACCATCCTCTCATCTGACCTCAAGGTCAAAGCCTCTGCAGCTCTTGCATGTGGTATGAGACGCAACAACTCATCAGACGTGGACTGTCTGACTAGCAGACCCTGTAGCATCTTCTAAGCGGTGATGTCTGAAGTCAAAGAGAACCACGACTCTTTGAGATTCCAGAAGCCGCTTTATCCAGTGACATCACCACTTTGGCTGCCTTTCCTCTGGACCGCTCAAGAGCTGCCGTCCGACGTGGGTGTGGTAGATCTGCTCACTGGCACCAGACGGTTCTTCATGGATGTTCTCTAGCTCATTAAACCACACAGTCAGACTTTTTTACAACCCAGACATCACAAGATCTCTCAGATACTTAATAATGTTTACTACAAACATCTAGCCTACATTCGTCATTTCATTCAATTCTGTAATCTTGTCCAACCATCATTCATCATAATTTGTCACGGATAACAGTTATGGTCCATTCCCATCTGTACCGGGCCGACCCGGTACAGATGGGAATGGACCATTAGTGTAGAAACACAGAATTAAAACCATTTTTATAAACTCTATCCTTGACTCTGTCTAAGTTAAAATGAGGTGTGTGTTTTCACTCTAAGGTAATATTAAATCAAATAATTAAAGACCAATCAGAAGCTACACCCATCCACGCTACATGTGTAAAAAAAAAAAACAACAAGAAAATGGATTACGAATAAAAACAGAAGATTTTCTCTGCTTGATGCCGATGATCTGACCCTTCTCGCACAGACTAACATCTTCTCCACGACCACCAGATGTGTCCGTCCACACGGCTGGTCGGGAGATGAGAAGCGGCTCATTGCACCAGTTGGGTTAAATAACTTGTTGCAGCTGAAAGATAATCGCCCTGCAGTAATTATCCGATAGGAGCCTCCCACCTGTTTGTTAGTTATCCAGGTGGAGACTTGTCTAGGGCCGGGCGGTGTGAATAGGGTTAGGGCACATGTGTCAGACACAAGGCCCACAGGCCAGATGCGGCCCGCGGAGCATTTTTATGTGGCCCGTGAGATAAATATCAAAAATATATTAAAACTGGCCCGCTGGTCGATTTTACCGCAAAGACTTCAACTCCCATGACGCTTTGCGGCGTCAGCGCGGAGCCGACGCGCCCCCTCCTTTGTGTTTTTTTCCAGTGTCTGCAGCTCTGTGGTCGTGTTTCCTCCCCGACACACAACGACGTGGTCAAGCTGCTCAGACATGTTCATCAGCACAAACCTATGTGAGCACCTGTTGTCATCTAATGTTGTCGTTATTATGATGAAGATGAACA